ATGAGTATAAACATTTGGTTTTGTAGACAACAATAAAAACATCAACTGAAGAAATACAATATGAGACGGACATTGAATACCACAACTACTATGCTGAATACATTTTACCATGCGTGGTTAACGTTTTGTCTGAAGATGATATTATTATAGAATTTGCTATCAGTTGTGTAACAGTAAGTATGGTTTATTTATTCATTGACATAGTGTAAATATAAAATGCATTCAACTATTCTAACTTTAACTTTATTTAGAAACGCGTACGTTTTTGTTCGGTTTGTTTGTATTCGGAAGAAAAGTTAGATACTATGGAACGTAACTTGAAATTTGAAACATTTCCAACTGGTGTAAAAATGATTGATCATAAGCAATATCTTTGTCCTGATGACAAACATATCATATAACGTAACGCGAACATTGCATTTATATTGTATGTTTTTGTCCTTACTAGTGTAACATTGTTATTAAATCAAGAATGTGACTTAGTGTCGAGTCAATAATCAAGGGAGAAGAATCTAGCCGTGTCTACCTTTACGGTATTTCGACAAGTTAGTTCGACGTTATCCTGGATTGCTATTTAACTACTCCTATTATATTAGCGAGATTAGCAACTATGACGCGCTGAAGCAACTAGATAGTAATCGCACTCTTACTAATAGAGACAATTCTGGCTCCGTCGGTACATCACAAGGAGATTATTATTATGTTTAATTTAGAGTATTAACGGCCATCGACATGTAAAAGAAATTCGACATGCTTGGGCAATCTGATTGGATAATCATGAAATGTTGAAAAATTTCCTTCTTTCTACTTTAGCAACTTGGTAAGAAGTAACGTATTTTGGAGTTCCTATTATCACAAAGCGAGAATACGACTGCTTTCGGGCAAATGTCTACGCGACCAATCCGTTATGAGAAAACGTAAGGAGTCTCAATATTGTGATTTGGAGGGCCAGTTAGCATCAATTGCGATTATGAGCAACATATTATCTATTGCAATACCAAATTTGAGTCAGGCAAAGTTTTTATGCCAATAAATAAATAGTTAATACAATACGAACGCATACTCTTACCCCAAATATAAGTTATAGCCCAATACAATACAAAGGAAAGGAATTAAGAAGCCTTGATCAAATTACCGACAATAGCCTAGAATACAACACTTGGATAGATATTGTGATTTGGAGAAATGTATTGATTCTTGCGAGGCTAATCCGAAATGATTGTTCTTCTACCACGAAATTGAGAACGGAATCTGAAATGATCATCCTTTACAACGAAAACGAGCGGCTCAAGGTTAACGGTATCCGAAATAATCATTCTCCGCGACGAAAACGAGACTTGAACGAACGATATCCAAATGAGACGGTATCCAAAATGACAATGACTTAGAACCGAGCGAGAGCCTCTTGGCATCCGAAATAATATGAGCTTAGCTACATTGTTAGAACAATAATATTTCCATATCGTATGAATAGACAATTCTTATTTATGGACAAGCCTTATCACTATGTATATGAACGCTTTTGTTTCAAAGTCATAGCCAGTGTTGTATTGCATCCCAATCTACTTAAGTGCATTCTGTTCAAAGCTATGCAAGGAAGGGCAACACGACCAAAAGTTTAAAAAGGAATATGTATCATTTTGTCATATACTGCAAATTATAACTGTCGCGGCTTGATAGTTTTTATTATCTAATTGTAATATAGTAATTTTTTCGGTTGGCATACAAATTTGGACTACGCATTTGCAGAATTTCACTTTCTGATTGGCACAGAAATTTAAGAATTTTTATTGGCGCTCTGAGCTTCTATAAAAAGAAATTTTGTCAAAAATCCCAATCGAAAAATATTGAAGCCATGGGCCGGCTAACAGAGAAGATAAATCTGAATAAGCTCGTGAAAAGACGGTATCATACACGAGAAACCCTTGATCATGGGCCAAGCGAAGCTGTAAAAAAGGCCGGAGAGTATGATATATGGGCACCTAGTGAAGGTACGACGAACTTGACGTAATTTGAACGTATGTTTAAAAATTAATTGTGCAATAATAGTAATTATTCAGCTTGCTTTATAGTAGGCAGTAGCGAAGAGGATGATGGAGATAGTTTCCTACGACCTATAAAGAAGAGAAAAATCAAGGTTTGAAGTCTAAGTTTGTAGAGCAATTGAATACTGGAAATACGATATTTATATTTGCATGCATCAAATCGATTGATTCACCATAAAGGAACCACCTACACTCAAGTTAAAACCTTCAACATCGGTACCAGCAGTAGCGGAACCTCCACCGGGTGCAAGTTATAACCCAACTTTCACAGATCATCAGGTTTCTAAGCTTAATCTACCCCTTCCTTTTTAATAATCATCTTGTTATTTACACTTTGTTCTACTGTTTCTCAGTCTCTACTTCGCGAAGCTCACGAAGAAGAGTATCGCAGGGTTGAAGCCATTGAAAATTTAAATTCTAAACTTCCCACTTTCACCGAAGTGTCATCATCGGAAGTCGATTTGCTAAACCAAGAAACATCTGAAAAAGAGGATGAGGATGAGGATGAGAATGAGAATGAGAATGAGGATAATAATCAACCTGCAGAAGTGAGCGGAGCTGGTACTAACACAAAAAATACTTTGAACAGAAAGACGACAGCTATGAGAAACAGAATAAAGCGAAGGGTGGAGCGAGAGAGACTGGAAGCGGAGAAAAAATTTCAGAAAAAGATCAATAACGATTTGGCAAGGTCGGCATTGACTAATTTATGTTGTATTCGCCATTGATAATAGTATTGGTATCAATTTCGTTGAATCAGCAATTAATTGAATTATTTGAAATGTTGTGTAGAATAACTGATATCGCCAAACAGGTTAAAACCGAAGTAGCAAAACGTGAGAAAAAGCTCCAAGAAAAAGCCAAGTTGATCGAAGAGAGCACAAAACGTCCCCCTAAGAAGATAGGAAAATATCGGTAAGGACAATGTTCAGTCTGGCCACCATAAGCATGCTCTCTCAAAGTCAATCGAAACCCGTTGCCAATGCATAACATCCTTGTCTATAATTTCCCAGAGTCCCTAAACTCCCAATAGATGTGCAATTATCAGAGGACTTGTCGGAATCTCTAAGAACTCTAAAGCCAGAAGGTAATTTATTCGCAGACAGAATGACTAGTTTACAGCAGAGGAGCATTATCGAACCAAGAGTTCCTATCAAGTAAGTGTTGACAAATATGCTCGTACAGAGGGGAACATTAAAGAATTTGTTCTAATTAACGTTGTTATCTGTTTAGGGCTCGGCGCAAAAGACGACGCAAACCAACCCAAGATGACTGATTTGTATAAATATCATAATCACTACTCTGAGATAAAATCATCCCCGCTTATTCTTGTACTTTCCGCAAAACCACAACTTTCCTTCGTTTCCTCTAATTAGCCTGCCATGCTCTAATAGTAAATAATCTCTATGCATAGTATCGAATGAGATATCCTCCACATAGGTTCTAATATCATCTGCTTCCCATTTAAATCTTGCCGCAAAGAGAATATCGAATCGTTCAGGTGCAGATGTTGGAAGTTCGGAGGCTGAAAAATATCGAATGGTAGATTTCCCGAGGGCAGAATCAGAGTCTAATAGATATTCGCCCTGTGCGTGTGTGTAGGTAGGGGGAGAGAGTGTGAATATGTCGTTAATTAAAAATAAGATTAAATTATACAAGGATCCGATTATGACAAGAGGATATGACATACTCGTAGCAAGTCGAGAGACGGATCAAAGTCAAATGGTACAATTTGCTGCCATTCTGTGACGAAATCGTCAACCATCCACCGGTATTTATCCTAAATGAATGACAAAACGAATGAGTATCAATCAAAGGGAGGCCTAGTGATAAGACAACTACGTCTTACCCTCTCTTTACGTAACAAATGTGTCCCCATGTATTTGCAAACTTTCGTCTTTGATATTCTATAAGAGCAGTCTTTGGGAAGGGTTAAAACGGAAACAGTGGACATGCGTTGGTAATCGCAATAAGTTGGTCATAAAATATCGCAATTCGGCATATCTGTTACCATCTGCATGTTCGTTGCCAACTTCAGAAAATTGTTTCAAGCAATGTCGAGCTATATCTTCAGGGATTCCTAATCCGTTTAAAGACATACAAATGTCTGATAATCGTATTTCGTCGAGTGAAATACCGTCGGATATTGCGGTTGAAAGAATAATGTCGAGTGTTCTATACATGTAATCTGGATCGATGTATCTCCAATATCCTACAGATGAAAGCGTTAAAGAATGTGAATACCTCACGATCGGTAGAAAAAGCCAAGAATTGAAACCGTATAGTAATACCATCGAGCTCAATAGCAAGTCGCTTCTTCAATACTTGTTTTATCTCTTCCAAACTTGCTTGTATAATCTCGTCCAAATCAGCCAGAGTATAGAACTTTGTACTATGCTGCAGCAGGTAAATAAAATATTTCAATTCTCGGTTAACCTTTGCCCCATAAAATCCTTTCGAAGAAACCTTACTTTGAGATATTGCTCCTCTTCATCGGGTCCTTTATACATGGTGGCCTCGAGCAGGGTGTCCATTTTCTCGAATTTTGGTATAATTCTAACCAGCTCCCCAGTAAACGTCTGATTGTCCAATACTTCAACCATTCGCACTTCATGTGTATTGTCGTATGTAACGTTGTCAGTCTGTATTTCGGGCAACGGCGAGTCATCGGAGATTGGTACTTCGGAGCAAATAAGCATCGAATTGGTGGTAAGTCGTTTTCGAAGCTGAAAGGTTGCATCATCTGTGCAGAAAACCGCCTCTTCATCTAGAGCCCCCTTTATACAGAGGCTTTTGAGAAGACAATGAAACAGGTGGAGGGTCTAGATTAGAAGTTGGATCAACGATCAGTCGCGTTTGCATTGCGTACGTACTTTGGGAATTCATCAGCATTAGTTTCTATCTTCTCAGCATAGAGGTCTCCCAACTCCTTTGTAAAGTCGAGAATTCTATAAGCTCCTTTCTCATATTTTTGATGAAATACAATGTGTGTTTCAACATTCTTTAGGTCCATTTCGGTAATTGAAGTTATTAGATGATCACCAAACCAAGGACGCGTTTAATGATCGTCTATACTCACGTGAAGGGAATCAGGCAATCACGTTCTTAAAGACTAAGAATTGCTGGACTTATCAAGGGGAGTTTTCAGCAAGAAAAGACAGATCTTATCCAGTGTAACTTTTCTTTTCTCATAGCTTGGCAAGTATGTTAAAGGGTTACATTCAATTCTATCTCCATATAATACTAATACTGTTCATGCTTAGTATAGGTATGAATCATTAACTATGTGTAATGAACTGTTCGCTACATATCTTCCACATAGTAAAAAATCATAGTCTGTGGATATGCGCTCGTTTATCAGTAAGCATAAAGTTGCTGGATGTGAAAAGCACTTTATTCCCGAAGTTGAATGTAATTATACACTTTGGGGATCCGAGATAGCTCGAACCTTTTCAATTATGTATTAGATCCTCCCACATGTAAACACGTCAAAAAGAATTTTGTAGTAGCAATTTAGGCAGGGGTCATTTGCTTTACTCATTTGACATTCCATACCACATTCTGCAAGCACCTTGATTTGACCCGCGCCTCGCCAATTATTCGAATAGCAAATTCCCAACTTTTGACGACTTGTTTGATCTTTTCCCCCCTCTAACTGGTACGATCCCCATATTATCAAGATAGTTTATGTATTCCTCATAGGTGATTGTATATTTAGAACTTTGGTATCGAGTGAGAACAATACGCTTACGAATCTCATCAGTAATATGGTCTGTGTATCCTGCTTTACGGAGAAGAGAATCAATGGTTTCAATTCGCGTCCAGCCTGTAAGAGTTAAGAGAAATATTAATGACAAGCCGAAATGGAAATAAATTAATAGCTTTTTTCCAATATTCTTGTCAATACAAGCAAGAGAATGTGACGTTATAGCTCACCTTGCTCCGCAGAAACCTCAGGCAAATATGTTGCTGTTCTGCAAACGTTATTGTCGTCGGTAAATTCGATCCAAATACCATGGATTCCAACCTATAACAATTTATACACGAAAATTCATCAATACTAATGATATTATAAAATATATTACAATCACCAACATAAATCATGCCCAACCTCCCAGTCAAGGTATCCCTCGGCTTCCTCGAAATTAGTCAACAATGAAATCCTGTTCACAAATCAAATCAAGCTGATTAAACACATTTCACATTTACATCCATTTCCATTCTCCAAACTTTTCCCTTCTTCATTCCCATGCACTTACCCGCACGTAAGATGACTCAATTCGCGTGCTGAAATCGGTGCAAACCTCGTATCCTGAAAAGCACTATCATGACGACAGGGCCATGCGTATCCAACAAGCGTCCGTGAACATCCAGCAAATAAAAGCATTTCCCCAATAAACAGTCAGAAACGTCTTTGCGATTTGGCAGGACGAAATAAAAAGAAAAAGTAACTAAGACGCAATAAAGAAAAGAGAAGAGAATTCATAGTACACGTATGGGAGTTGGATGTAAAAAGCAATGGAAATAGGGATGAATGGAGGGAGATATAAACATATACAATAGGCATACGATAAATGGATAAAGAAAGATCACATCTTTTCTTGAATGTACAATTACGATTTGAAAACTGCATATTAAACGACAACCAAATAATTTACCTTGTCAAAGCATAGTCTTTCAGTCCAGAGTGAAGAGGCAAAGCATCAAAGTTGCCAATACAACCGCGAAGACGAACATGTCCGTTACGGGCCTTGTAATTCCAGGTTACAAATAACGGGCTTTTTTTTTTTCGTATAACAAGAATCATGACTATGAAGTTAGTTTAGAATTCAGACTCTTTTATTCCATTAAGAGCGTAAAACTCTTCCCACAGAGAGAGACATATGAAGTATTCTAATACCTAGGACTACGGTAATGCGTACACATATACTCACTATTCGTCATTGTCAAAATTTGGTTTTATGTGATCCCTTCCTTCAAAGTGAGCGGCAAGCACATCGAAACAATAGACACAATGATCAATAGTAACCATATTTGAGTCGATGTATATACGAGAGTAATCTGAAAGCTCTTTCAGAAAAAAGAGTTGACTATCAAGGAAAAGGAGACCGCGAAGGAGGTAGAGGAGTTGAGTGGAGGATCAGGAAAAGGAAAGAGTCTCGAACGAAATCCGTGTTTGTTGCGGCGTGCTTTTGTCATTGGTTGGACTGTTTAATTCCCAAATTTAAAAAATCCTGGACCCTTTTTCGAGCTCTTGTGTGACAGTGTTTGAAGGCTATATAGGGCTATTCTAAAATTATCAAACAATGTGTGATTTTTATTAGGGCTTCAAAAACATGTTTAGGCATACACTGTAACGTTCTCGATTTCGTTAAATCTTAGATTCCGATTCAATGACGATATTCTCCTAATGTCATCTTCGCTCAGTTCAAAATCAAAGATGTTAATATTTTCCTTCAATCTCTCCCCTTTACTAGTCTTTGGGACGACAGCAATTCCTCGCTGTACACTCCACTTCAAAAGTATCTACAACAAAAAAAAATAATTTCCTCTTTTAATATCAGGAAATCGCTTCTTTCTCACAACTAACAATAAATAGGATAAACCAAACGACTACAAGACATCAATCGATTGCAGCATATCTTACCTGGCCGGCACTCTTCTTGTATTTGCCTGCTAGCTCTGTTATCAGGTCATTCGTTAACAGGTTCGGACTATTGCGAGCCCTTTCAGATAACTCTACATAGCTATTACCACCGAACGTAGAATATCCGGTTATGGCCATATTTTCTCCTTTTGCATAGGTAACGAGATCTTCTTGTGTCAAATACGGATGGTGTTCAATTTGCAGTACTTCTGGTCTGATGCGTGCATACGTCAGGATTTCGTTAATTAATCTCTTAGGGATATTGGATACCCCGATGCTCTAAAGAGATTGATAGATTTGTTAAGAACGAAATTGGATATGGGCTGTTAACCTTTGATCAGATCCCATTGTCTAATCTGTACGAGAGTCGTTTTTCATAAAATTCTACATTCTCCCTATACTCCCAAATTTGTACATTCATTCGAGCCTTGATACCTTGACTAACCCCGCGTCCACCAATTCTTCCATGGCTTGCCATGTCTCTCTCATAGGCACGGGTTCTTGAATAATTTCCTGCTGTTTGGGATCATAAAACCACCCTGCCGGATACCTCTCCTCGAAAGGAACATATTTGAGAGAAACAGGAAAATGGATCAAATACAGATCCAAATACGTTAAACCTAAATCTGACAAAGTTCGTTCGACTGCTGGGCGCACGTGTTGACGAGCATGACAAGTGTTCCATAACTGTTGAAGATCGACACAAAGTGAAAAAGTTTTGTTAAAGGAATATAGATAACAGATTTTTACAACGATAAGATTGACCTTACTTTGGACGTGACAAAAATGTCCTGCGTGTGTAGGATAGAATGTTAAGCATGAGTAATCATTTACGCATTAATGACTTTTAGTTTACTTACTTCTCGCTTGACAATGCCCAGGTCTATCGCACTCTGTATTCCTTCCCCTGTCTCCTTCTCATTCCCATAGTCACCAGCACTATCCTATAATATCAGAAACCATCAGACGTTAATTGCTTCTCAAGAGGCAATACGATTCGTAAATCTAACGGACCAGTAAGCGGTATCCAGATTTAAAAGCCTCTACAACCATGTCTTTGGCAACGTTGTTAGGCATCTAAAAATACATATCCGTTATTGAGGAAGAAAAGATGCGAGTTTAGTAAAAGACTTTGACTTACCTGCCACAATCCAAGACCAACAAGTGGCATCATCTGGCCAGTGGTTGCGAGTCTAATGGCCTGCATTCCGGTGGTATGTTGATAATAGTAATAGGATCGCTTTTTTGATTTCTTACGTTGAGTTTTATATCATTATGATGCACTCGTTCATGTGACCGCGTGATTGCGCGGGATATAATTACGAAAATGGGAATAACCTTGTCGGAAACCCTGTTGTGCAACATCGTAATATTAATATGTTTCCCTGATCCAAGTTTAATCTATCTATGTTTAAAGCCATGTCATATAGCAAGGCACACTTCACCGACGCCCAGCGTCTGTTCTTAGCAGTCGTTTTCCGTATTAGCGTAATTGTCTTGAAATACAGTCTTCTAACTAGAGTTTCATTCTCTGCTGTGTAAAGTGAGGTCGTTGTAGTAAATCCATATTAGGAAAAGAACGGTAGATATCTGATGAGATGAACATTATGTTTTGATCTTGATAAGTGGACTAATGACAATCCGGTTTGCTTTTATCTGCACCATCTTCACCATTTTCCTTCTTCTCTTCAATATTTTAAACTTTTAACTTTATCGTTAAATATGAAGCAAGTTTTCCTCGGACGTTGGCATAATTTTTAGCATCGTACGGTTTTGAGAAAGAAAACCATGCAGATAACTTACGGCAGAGGGCAAGTAGAAATTCCTTATAAACAAAAAAAATTCATTACATATGTATATATTGCCTTAATGCACATACTAGATAGAGAGCTTGCAATATTATGGACGGCTAACGTCATACCTCACAGTTTACATCATGAAAAGTACTGGAGTAACAGAGAGTGAGAGACGTTAAACCCGAAATAGAATAATAGCGTGGTTTATTTCGGTGTAGATAATATTGATTTTATCGTGAAAACTTTTATTTGCATATGGAATATCTTTGATACTGCTAGCCGTAGTGTTCAAACAACGATGAAGATGGTATAATTTTCAGCACCAATAAAAATATTGTTGATAATGAGTCTCATAACGAGAGTAACGAACGAATGACTCTGTTTGAGAACCAGATTACGTAAAAAAAAGTTACTCGCGCATGCGAAAATTGCCGACGAAAACGATTCAGATCACTGATGTATATGAAATATTGTAGACTACTGTTAAAGACGTTACAATTGATGGATGTAACGTTCCCTCTCCAACGTTATAATCTTAAAATCAGGAAAGAATCCAAATTGCAACACTGATGTGTATGAAGCGCGCAGAATGCATTTGCAGTACAGCTATTGCTTCGTCCAAGAGTATGTGTTTCGTTTTATTTACAATATTTTCTGGTCACGGTATTTTTAAATTCGGAAAAAAGGAGTTGATTACCCTGCTGTTTGTCGGGGATGTTTTACATTTGCCATTTGCATGTGCATTGGCCAAGTATGCAGACAGTCTTGGACTATCACTTTTGGATCTAAAAACGCGAATAATGTAATAAAGTGTGATACACTATTTTTTACTGGCTCGGGCATAAGATTGGTATACGAAAAGGTCATTTAATATGCATTGTTATTATGAAAACCTTAATGCATTCTTTTCATGTTTCCAGTCGCCGGAAAAGGCAACTATATACAGTCATTTTATATTACAGTATTACCTTCCTCAGCTATGGACCCTCTTAAGCATTGCATCAGTTAACCTAACGAGTATTGGAGGCCATTCATGTTAATAAGAAAGTAGGTTAAAATCACACAAGAATGCATTGCAGAGATTTATAGCTGCTTTCATGCTACCCCTCATTTCATGAACATTTATGGACAATCGTGAACTAAAACCTGAAGGATGCAGAAGGCTTTGATTGCTACAGAATTGGAATCATACATCATTGTTACATTTCATATATTACCATATAATTATAGCAAAACCTTTACAATTGCACTGCCTGCAGCAATTTTGCGGCGAATTCTGAAAAGTCAAACGAGGAAAAGATGCTTAGCTACAAGCGGGAGACACGGACTAAAAGTCTTCAAGAAGCAGACAATAATATTATTGACGTAATTAGCTAATCAAATTGTTGAGTGTAAAGAATATATTCATCCTGGGACAATTAATTAGACTCTTTCAACATCGATATTAATATAAGGCAGTGTTTTGTTATTTCTTAGCTTTTATATCGCCATCTTAAGTATTGGATTTTTTATTGTAAAATAATGCGGTAAAATGTATTGTATCTAGACAGACTATCTTTTGCAGTTATAGATGTTAAAATCGTGTTTTATAAAAAGCCACACTTGCACTTTTAACGTTGGAGATGATTTATCTTAAAACTGGTGTTATGCAAAAATTTGGTCGCGTTCTGCAAATTTGTTGATTTACAAAAATGGACCGAGGCAATTGTATAGTACGGTCCACGTACACATTGTACACAGAAAATTCATTGTTGTGTTGACTTATTGGTGTTTGTGAAATAAAATAAAAATATATTTCCAGTTTTAAGATAATGTCATCAACAAGGCTCTTTAATAAACCATGATTTTTAACTTCTATAATTGTGGAAAATGGAACTTAACATTAAGTTTGCTCACCATTGCAATTACGTTGTAAAACAAATATGCAAATCATTGATTACCGTAAAGTTAACGTATTGCTTGTCTTACAATATCCAAAGGTTATTCTTATAGCACCGTCTTTTAATCATCAATAACAAGCTTACCATTCCCAAATGCTTCAATGTTCGATAGATCTCGTGCATAGCCATTTGATTGAGTTCTTGTATGTCTGTCCAGTAAAAAGTTATTTCTGAGGAAGCTGAAAATCCAATATCCTCCTATGGACTCTATTACTGTACTTGTTGTCATTATCGAAAGGTCACAGCGTCCAAACCTGGTGTAACTAAGGAAAATGTGGGGTATCGGAAAGAGTGATCAATCAAAGCGCACAGCCTAACGACAATCTGATATATCCATGCCTGAATACTCTTAAACTCCCGTGGATAATGAAGAAAGACTCATTTGCAGAAGTTGATGAGAACATAATATCAGAGCCGCGTAGAGTAAGCATGTTGGCACAACACATAACATAAAGTTAGAAAATGGGTCCCCACAACAATTTATTAAAGCGTCACAATATCAGTAATTTCCGAATTTCTAATTAGTTATGCTGTGGGACTTAAAGCAAACGATTTAGTCGGTAACGGCAGTACATTATTCGACTCGCCAAGAAATGCTCTTTTTAATGGTGTAAATAGCAGAGCGTGGCATGCCGTAACGTAGTAAAAGTCAGTATAACAGTGACGAGGCATTCACAAAAAATAAATCTCACCTTATAGTGTAGTTTATTATAATAATATATTAGTGATATACACTATAGCGAATATCATGCGTAACAGTAAGTTAATTAATTAGCGAGTATTTTAACAATGCTTGTTTCGAAGAATTTGATGTTTAACATTTTATCACATTCGTTAATCCTTCCAAACATCATTTACTTTTACCAAGTATTTTGACTCTTTATTATTCTCCTCTTCACCACCTACAAACTTGTCAATTTTGATTATCAACCAGAATAGACTTCGATCCTTAGACTGCGAGTGATCCATATTGTCGTGCGGGAGAGTAGCCAATAGTCGGACTAGGAATTTGGCTACTTTAGCATGGAGCGTGGTTTCTCCTACTAATAGTCAAATATCGGGTAACAATTAGTGACCTTTATTTAACACTAGGCTTTTCTTACTTACGACTTCACTGCGTCGAGTCCCCGAGTGCAATCACTGTTCATATCGTGGGGTTAATTCGATAGTCTCCCGGTTGGGTACAATGGTGTTTTTAATTACAATAAACGCGTTTCAATAAGTAACAATTAATTATCGTAAATGTCACTCGAATAATCGCAAGAACAAGAGGCGATTATCCTTCTCCGATATAGGGATTAGCGGTTCAGGGAATAGAATATCAATCATATGCGATCAGAATAACCACTCGTTTATTAACAACAATAAACAAAGGAATCTATATGAATTAAAAACTTGCAAATACTGACAAACACTAATAAACTTACACTGCTTTTATATCTTTTGAACTGCTAATCGATATAATTTTAACAACTAGTCTAGTAAGTAGCACAGGAAAGGGAAGCTGCAATAAACAGTAATCTGAGCAAAAATAATCGGAGAAATGAAATAATTTGAGTAAATAACACAAGGGTTTTATTATTGGGGAAATCTTTGAATAAACAATGACCAGAGTCTTAATCTATGTGAATTTGATTCTCTTCAAATCTAGGTTTTCCCAACTTGTTGCATGACTAAGGCAACATAAACTTTTCATTAGTAACTGAGCGGGTATTTGTGTTGGTGACACAGTTTGCGATCGGGTTTGCCGACGTTGCTTGTAGGTGGTGGTTTGGTACGGGTTCGCTTGCTTTTAGTGATTGGCGCGGTTTGAATTGTTGATTCGCCAGATGTACTGGAAGCAATCGTAATCCTTATTTGCTTGTTCTTGGAAAGTTTGATAAAATGTATAGAAACGACAAAAGTCGGTGTCAACCATAGCATCGGGAGATGAAGTGATGGATGATGCTGATGTAGGAGTAAGCGTTTGTACCATGGGAATAGGAGTAGACGTCGTTTGATGGTTTATAGGAGAGGTAGGAGTAGTGAAGCAGGAGGTAGTGGGTTTACTGAGAAAGGTGATTGAAGAAGATGTCTTGGGAGCAAAAGTTTCGTTTTTGATACACCAGGAGTTCCGTTTTTGATAGATCGGCAAGCACCCCAAATTTTGGTTCCT